CAGGGTTAAAAGAACCATAATGCGCATTAGAGTTCCCTTTCTTGAGGGCGACACCCTAATCTTCCCTCCCATTCCCAGCTGGGTTGTAGGAAATGTGCTAATGGTCGGAAGCGTTCCATTTCCCAAGCAGCTGGGAACAGCTGATTTGTCATTCGAAAGTTCCAAAATTTAGAATGTGAAGCCCCGGTCCAGAGTCTCTCCTTGGTTACGGAGAAGGTGCACAGGTGAGACCCCACTGGGCCAGCTACTGTTTTCCCCCACTGCTGGCTGGAGGGAGACTGCAGCCAGGCCAGTCCATGAAGAAGTTACCAGCCAGTAGGAAGAAAAGTAGAACTAAGCATTCAGATTTAGACAGAATTATAAACTTAGTTCCGTTAGGTCAGACTGGAATCTCCTTTATAAATATCACACAGCATCATAAACCCAGTGCAGAAAGGCCAAATTTGGATCACAAAGCTGTAAATCAGGAGTAGTACTACGGACTTTTAGGATGGCACCAGGCTTCCACTGGCAGTGAGGTGCAACACTTCTCTCTTTTGCGGGTGTATGTACCCAGGCAGATACATTTCTCCAAATACATGTATGGGCCATCTTGATGATTATTGCATAAAAGAGAGACACCCTGAACTCTTACAGCACTTTGTTATGCAGAAAATGCGACAAAATGCAGGCAGAAGGCAAATCCTTGGAGACGTGGAGCAAAAGTCCTTCGCAGACAGCTACTGATGTCTGATTTGGCCCTAGGCCAACGCTTCACGATGCACACCGTGCCACACCAACCCACAGTGCGTTGCATTGCAGACTGAGGGTTGGATCCGGAGGGCAACTCTGGATTTCAGCAGCACCGGAGAGGGTTCAGGATCAGGTCCTGCCTCACTTAACCCATGACAGAAAGCAAGAAAAGGGAGGCCCTTCAGAAAAATTGCTAAACGAATGGCCACCCACATAGTACAGTCAGTCTCTGGTGGTGATGGGACGTGCACCGAAGCTTCAGATAAGCTATGGCTG